CCCTAGAGGAACGGCAAGAGTCCAACTCCTCAACAATGGTTGCATTACAAGTGGAGTACAATTCCAAAGAAAATTGCTCAACAGGTGTTGTAGCATATTCATTCTCTTTTTGAAAACAAACTTCAACTCAACACTAAGTAACTAAAACTTTTAGATTAGTTGTTAAAATGTTTTTATACTGCATTTGAACACTTATTTTATAAATCCCTTATTAAAATTAACCATGGTTTTACCATAGTAAAAGTGCTGTAGCCACAGTTGGTTATACCTATGGTTATCATAGCAAAGCCATGTTTAATCTTTTTTAAGGGTTGTTCGCAACAATTTAAAAATTAAGGGATAGTTCAGCCAAAAATTAAAATTCTGTCATCACTTACCCACCCCTTTAAGTTTTTCCAAACCTGTATGGGTTTGTTTCTTCTGTTGCATAGCAAAGCCATGGTTAATCTTTTTTAAGGGTTGTTAGCAACAATTTAAAAATGAACGGATAGTTCAGCCAAAAATGAAAATTCTGTCATCACTTACCCACCCCTTTAAGTTTTTCCAAACCTGTATGGGTTTGTTTCTTCTGTTGAACACAAAAGAAGACATTTTAAAGAATGTTGGTAACCAAACTGTTGTCTGTTGCCATTGACTTCCACGATAGGAAAAACAATACCATGGAAGTCAAGTTTGCTATAGGTCAACTGTCTGGTTCTTTTGTGTTCAACAGAAGAAAGAAACTCGTACATATTTGGAAAAACTTAAAAGGGTGGGTAAGTGATAACAAAATAAAATGTTCATTCACTTAAATAAAAATAATGAACGCCTTTTATATAGCGCCTTTAAAGCAGTTTCTCAGTTTCTCAAGGCACTTTACACAGTAAAAAAGAAAACGAAGAGAAAAATAAATAATAATAAAAGTAAAAATACACACACGACTTACTTCTGCCGCAGCCTGCTGTACTTTTTGTCTTGATTGACAGATGTCTTCAATCAGTGGTCAGTATTCCATTCGTCACATATACCTACCTTTTCCGTTTTGTCTGTATCTGTCTGCACTTCCTTCTCATATTAAAGATGGCCAAAATCTAAACATTTTTTAATCCTACCTAAAAACTCACTTTTTTAGGTTTAGGTGGGTCAAAAGGTACAGCTGAATGTTGGGAGAACAACAGTGTCTTCAATCATTCAAACGTTTGTAGACAGAACAGGTATGTAATCAGACATTGTTTTCTGTGCTGTAATTAGTGATGTTACGTCTGACACCGACGCTCCGAAGCTTGCTTCAAACTCGAACGGTCCTTGCAATGAACCACTGCTTCGGAGCTTGTATCATTACGTCATTAGTTACGTGAAAATGACGTCTGAAGCAAACACACGGGGTGTTTCTCAAAACCAAGAATGCAAAGAACGGACTTGTGTTCTTGGGGAGAACGCTCTTGCTAGTTGTTCTTGGAAGAATGAACTCACAAGATGACGAGCACACAGAACGCTGCTGACAGTTTGAGACGATGTGTTCTTGCTGGTATTGCGCAATAATTCCCCTGCACAGACACCGTCTGCAGTACCCAAACATAACGAGAATTGTTGACGATAACAGCCAGGCTGCAATGGTCTCTTGACTGTGGGGAAAAACGAGTCTGTGAGCAAACTGGCCGGTTGGCTCGATAGCTAACGTTACACCCGCAGGCGCTTATGGAGATTCTCACTTCCGAAAACGTTTGAGCACATTTTCGATTAGCCATAAATTTTCGTAAAAATGCCAATATTTGAAATCTACACAGTTGATTTCTCGCATCAAATGTTCTCAGAAGTGAATTGAGTGATGAAATAGTGTACGTAATTGTAGAAAAACGAAATACTGTATTGACCTGCCTCTCCTTCCTCGAATGCCGAATTGAATGCTGGGATATTTCTGCCGTCAAGTTCACACAAGTTACCAACCGATGCATCCTCGGTAAAATGGGCGTGTCAAGAACACTTCCGGGATTTTTAACTGTTCTTGCCAAAATGCAAACTTGTGTATTGGGACAGTACTTGGGCCACAAAAGATGACGTTTCACAAGAACACAAGGACAAGTACAGACAAGAACATAGATTGAGAAAGGCCCACTGCTTCACTCCTGTAGTGAACCACCTGACTGCTTTGACAGCCCGATCCAGTGTTGACAGGTTTGAAACCTGGCGGCTGTATTTCTTATAAAAGTGAAGCCAAACCATGGCAACACCGTGGGTTGTAGTAGTCGGTGTTTGGATTGGTGTTATTGTTGAGGAGAGTGGCAAAGAAAAAATTACACACACACACACATCATGCTTAATGTTTTATTATCAAGGTGAACACATGAAATTCATCAGTGTCTGTAAACTTCACCTACATAAATGAGTTTCACAGCACTACACTGTTTCAGCTTTGATCGCCTCGGTAAACACGTCATAAACGGGGCGTTAACACAAGCCTACTGGCATTTTATGGTTGTCAGCTTTGTTGCATTACATTTACTTCACCAGGAGATGGTGCTGCAATTTCTATCTGAATGAAGCTTCGAGTAATGAACCATTTTCGACACAATTGTATCGGAAAGCAATAATGCTTCGAAACGCTTCATTTGGCCATCACTAGCTGTAATTGTCAGGTTGTGTGCAGGTAGCTGAAGACGAGGACAGAAGGTTCTGCAGTATAGTTGATTTATTTACAAAACTTCACTTCAGGAACATACAGGAACAAAATAAACTCCAGGACTTCAGGGTAAACACAACCATACATTGACGACGACCAACAAACACTGAGGGAAAACACAGGGCTAAAAGAACTGGGACTAATGGGATAATTAACTGAACACAGGTGAAGAAACTGAACATAAACGAGGAGCGGGAAAACTAACAGGACTGAACCAAAATCACAAAGACAGGGGGAAAACAAGATCACAGAACAACTAAACACATAGAAAACGTGACAGTAATACTGTTGGCTATACTGTATTACGGTAGTCCACTACATTATACAGTAAATATACTTTTTAGTGACAATGTAACACACACACGTACATATATACAGAGTGTCTGTATATAATATATATATATATATATATATATATATATATATATGGTGGAAAGTAACTAATTACAAATACTTTCGTTACAATACTTGAGTAGATTTTTCAATTTCTTTCTACTTTCTTGAGTATAATTAAATTGTGGTACTTTTACTTGAGTTGAATAAAAATAAAGTATTCAACTTCGCTACATTTATTTTTCACCAAAAGTAAAAAGTACTTTGACAAAGGTTCTGACGGACCCACAGGGCGAGCTGACATTTGACAGACACTTTTCAAACTGCGGTGGTGCCCTGCTAAATTGCTTTATTTAACAATAATGTACACGCCAAAAATACATTTTTAAATTACATTTAGAATTGTGTAACTGTGTGAAGGCTATTTTAGTACATTCAAAGCATAACATCTTATTAGCACCTCAAAAAATTGCATTTAATTTCAAAATGTTCTTGTCTGTCTTTAACAGTTACTTATTGTAGTAATGCACAAGCCAAAACAATTAATAATAATGAAAATTCACATCTAGAATTGTGTAACTGTGTGAAGGCTATTTTTTTTTGTAATTCAAAAAGGCTAGTGAAGGCTATTTTAGTGCATTCAAAGCGCAACATCCTATTACCTCAAAGTGCATTTAATTTCAAAATGTTCTGGTCTGTCTTAAAGGAACACTCCACCGTTTTTTCATATTAAACTATGTTATTCCCTTAACTAAGACGAGTTGATACATACCTCTCTCGTCTCAGTGTGGCACTCAATCGCTCTGGCGCGCGGCAACACTTTGATAGCACTTAGCTTAGCCCAGTTCATTCATTAGGATCCAAACAGAGATGAAGTTAGAAGCGACCAAACACCTCCACGTTTTCCCTATTTAAATACAGTTACACGACCAAGTATGGTGAAACAAAATAAAACATGGCGCTTTTCTAAGCGGGTAAAATGGATAATAATGTATGGCGGAATAGCACTTGGACTCGGCGCAGTAATATAACTATATCATCGGGAGAGGATTATGAGTGATGATATTACTGCACCGAGTTGAAGTGCTATCAAGTGCTATTCTGCCATACATTATAGTTATCCATTATATGTTATAAGGCAATAACATAGTTTAATGGTCTGTTTAATATATTAATGGTCTGTTTAATAAAAAAAAAAAAAGTTTAATATGAAAAAACGGTGGAGTGTTCCTTTAAACAGTAGCTTACTTATTGTAGTAATATTGTAGTAATACAGCTAGAGTTGTGTGAACACTATTGTAGTTGCCTGAACAGCCAAGTATACAACATTTTCCAATTCTAACTAAATTAATCTATGAATGAATCTAGCACTGAAATGTAACCATATTATAATCTAATTCTACTCTCAACAAACATAGAGCAAATTAAAACAATTACTTAAAACAAATTTACACATCAGAATTTTTGTATGTGTGAGGGAGAAAAAAATTGTTCTCAGGAAGTGAAGTACAGCTCTGCAGCCCCTCTTTTCTCCTCAAGCGCTCTCTCCTTCCTCCATCTCTATCAGGAGCAAGCTGAAGCCATCTTGTATAGTTGCTTGGAGCATGTTGTGTCAGACGATTTTTTTCTCACAGCAGCTAAAAGACAAAATATTAAATTAATACAAAATTAATAAATACATATACAAACATTAATCCACCTGTAAATAAATGTAGGTAACAAAATAAAATAAGGTTGCTTTGGTTACATTTTATACAGGAAATGGTTGCTTATAATGTGGCACTATTGAATGACTGTCAAAATACTGTTGTCAAACTCACAACAGTATGACAACAGTATTTTGACAAACAAAACCATTTTAGCAAACAAAAACCTTTAAAATGTTTAGATATGGAAACTGTGGTGTAAACACATGCTTATCTGTGAATTAACTTTTAATTTATTAACTGTTAAAATAAAACGGCAATTATCCACTAAAGGTATAGTTCAACCAAAAATGTAAATTCTGTCAACATTTCCTCACCTCCACTTGTACGATGCCTGTATGAGTTTCTTCCTTCTGTTGAACACAGCAGAAATTAAAAAAATAAATGTTTAATCAGACAGTAGAGAACCACTGGCTTCCATATATTTTTTTTTTCCAATTTAATGTTACATTCCAGTACCTGTCTGGTCACCAACATTCCTCAAAATGTGTTCTTTGTGTTCATCAAAAGAAACCAACTCATCCAATCTTAAGAGAAAATGATGAGTAAATTTTCAGAGTTTGAGTTTCAGAGTTTTGTTTGAACTTCCTTTAAAAAACAAGAACAGACATACACACACACACATAAAATAGCAGACATATCCTGATTATCAAAGTCACAGATTAGATTTAGATATAATTAAATCTGATTATACAACCATTGAATCACTTTGAGCTTTAAAAGTCAATTACTGTTGTTTGTTGCTGATTTCGCTGTGATTTTTCCTATCATTTTAACAGCATTACATTACATCCCGCAGGCCGGTCTATCGCACCGGTCGCGTCAGTCTGTACTCGCATTCTCAAGGGGCAGTGAATCCGCTACCATATAAGCAAAAGTTCACTTCAATAAAGAACAAAGTGACATCCGAGTTTGAATTCTGGTATTTAAAAAAGCACAAAGAAAGAGAGCGACGAACTTTACTTACCTGAACAGCAGTTGTCTGACAGTGAGACTTCTTCACCCTTCAGCGGGAGAAATTTCAAACGACGCAGACATCACGTGAACCTCATTCACCAACCAGAAAAGCTGCTGTTACCGTGGAGATCGCGCCAAAATAAACATTTTTTAAATGATATTTTTTTTCAAACGTTTTTTAATAAACTGCTATATATATATATATATATATATATATATATATATATATAGTACGTTTTTAACATGATTTTGTGGTGCTTAAACTAAAAAGTATGGAAAACGTTGACTATTTTGTATGTGAATTATTTTTTCTTTAAATTATAAATTTATATATAAAAAAAAAAAAAAAATCAATTATCATGTTAGGAAAATGTATATTTTGTTCAGGTCAAATGGATTTGGGAATTGTTTAATGATTATTGAATTTTGTGAACATTGCTGAAAACTAATAGGCCTAGCAGCCCTAAATACTTATAACTGTCCAGTACACAAAGTATGGCCCATAATCGCTACACTGATCTGGGCCATAATCGCTAAACTGATCTGGGCCACACACCTCCCATCCACAATCGGCCCAAATGTTGTCTGCCGTCATGCATGCAGTGCCATCATTGCCACGCATGGCCCAGAGTTGGCTGACATGATGCATGCCAGTGCCGGCAACATGCCAGCAGTGCCATTTTGAGGCCACATTTGGGCCAAGTCTGTTTGCTATGTGGGATAGACAGTAAAAGAAATGGACACAGCGACCCCATAGACTTCAACGGAGAATAGTGAAGTCAATTAGAAGCACTCACTTCCTAATGGCTGAGCATACTGCGCAGGCTAAAACTGAGCTTGACGACGTATATGTGACGTGAGCAACCTGTCTGACAGTTGTAAGTCTTCTAGTAGCTGTGCCAAGCGGAATCTGAATCATTCCCTTCCGAATCTTGCAGAGACTGAGAGCGTGAGTAGGAGTTGTCCATGAGCTCGCAGCAGGATCAACTTTATGACTCTCTATGGACGAGAGTTTAATATGTTTTGCTCCAAAGTCAGTCGTGTTGGAAATTACTTAAGTGGTTCTGTGGAAGCGAAGCCATGGGTTTTTGTTAGAAAAATACCCATATTTATACCTTTATAATCTAAAATAACTAGCTTCCGCCAGACGACCGTACGCATACTACGCAATTCGACTTGCGCCACAAGAGTAACCCGTGGGCGTGGCGCATGTATGACGTAGGATGTTGGAGTATCGTAAGCTTACACGCCTCTCGCAGTTTAAAGGGGCCATATAATGCCATTTTCATACAAGTTAATTTGATTCACAGGGCCCTATCTTGCACTCGGCGCAAATGACTTTGTACACTGACGCATGTATCATTCCTATTTTGCACCCGCGCAAAGCGGACTTTTCCCTCCACAGACACACATCGGTTAACTAAGAAATACACTTGCGCTCCCCGGGGCGGTTCAGCGCAAAGAGGAGGCGTGTTCCGGCGCAAACTTCCCCTCATGCTATTTTGCTGTTCTATAAAACAATTGCGCCACTGACCAGAAAAAACCTAGTCTAAAGTCAGTGGCGCGTTGCGCGTTGTTTATTATGCTATTTTAAGGGCGCATGCTTGGCCATAATCAATGTAGCGTGTGCACAACACGCATACACGTTGATTTTCTCATCTAAGCAGCAGTTTTCATTTTTGCAAATCATACATTATTACGATAGATAGATAGATAGATAGATAGATAGATAGATAGATAGATAGATAGATAGATAGATAGATAGACAATTTATTGTAAAAGCATACATGTAGCTTACACATTTACCCAAATTGTTTATGTTTAACAGAAGTTAATTTGGGTGGGTTTCTCCATCCCCAATGTCACTTCTCTGTGTTTTACGGCCCTGGCGAGAACATTGCTCTCCTCGGCTGTGAACCGCTCCTGGCGCGCGCCTGGCAAATCCGCCGTTATAATAGGAATCTGCTTTAGAACAAGCGTGCCTGCTCTTAAAGGGAATGTGAGATGACGCTCTGATTGGTTTATTTCACGTTACGCCCAAACCACACCTATGAATAATGAAGCTAATTCAGACCAACCCCTTTTAGATTTGCGCCAGGCGCAAGAGGAGCGCCGGGATCCGCCCACAAAGTTACTTGCGCTTTGCGCTTTGACACTTGCGTTTCAGATCGTTAAAATAGGGCCCATAGGGTCTAAATGAAAAGTTTGTAATATACTTTAATTAAAAATTCTCATTAGTATTGTAAGAAAACACTCATTTTACCAGGTCAAAACCAGCTCTGTTTTCAGCATGCTGTTTCAGTGCATATGCCTTTAAATGAAAATGAGCTTTGCTCACTCCGCCCCTCTGTTCTGCGGGCGTTTTGACACAACGCCCGTGGAGTGTTGCCTTGACAATAGTTGAGGGTATATTTTGGAGAAAGAATGGCAGCGGGAGTCTCTGAGGACACTATTGTGTCTTAAAGAGTATACGGTGTATGCAGGCAAATATGACACACACACAAACTTAGCGGGATTGCTCTGTTTACTTTCTCAGACATCACTTCCATAACACCGGAACATCCGGAAGCATAGTACCAAGTGCATCATGGGAAATGTAGTCACATAAAGCATTAACACAATATACAACATCTCCTTCCCCCCAAGGGGGTAATCCATCAGCCGGAAGTTAAAAGCTGCCTCCGGGGGCCGCCATTGTAGCTGGCTATCACCTGCTGTTAGCATCCCATTGACTCCCATTCATTTTGGCGTCACTTTGATAGCGAATAACTTTACATCTGAGGCGTCCAAAGACTCCATTTGTCCATTATTTATTTCTAAAGAAACACGACAATGTATAAAAGGCTCCATTACTTTGTATCTTACGTTACGGCCCCGTAGAAGCCATTCTTGTAAAAATAGGCTAACGATTGCGTCATAACCACGGGACGCTCTGTCGCACAGTAGAGAAATTACCGTATAGACTGAAGTAGAAGCTCGTAGGCAATCGTTTACTGTCTATGAGGCAATCGGGTGGACATGGAGGCATAAAGTCAAGGGAGAAGCCCATAGATAGAGAGTTCATAAAAGCAACGGGACAAAATATTTCAACAACAGATTTGTTTCAGATTTCAATTCAGATTTATCCCGGCACATCTACTAGAAGGTCAGAACGGTTGCTCACGTGACAACTTTGTCGTCAAGCTCAGTTTGAGCCTGCGCAGTGCGCTTGGCTATCAGGAAGTGAGTGCCCATGTTGGGCTTCAACTCTCTCCGTTGAAATCAACGGGGTCGCTGTGTCCATTTCTTTTACTGTCTATGCTTCCCCCTTACTCTTTGAGGTCTAACACAAATATTACAAATTAAACTGTAATATCAGTAGTCAGGAATTTATGAAATCCAACTTTCTTATGAACACATTTTTTTTTTTTTTTTTTGAACATTCAGCTTTTTGTATTTCCTTATATAAATAAACACAACTACTTCCCTGGGAGTGAGGGTAGACTACCTCAAACCCTAGCTGACCCTTTTTGGGGATTATTCTGCCCCGAAACAATAAGGGTAGCTCCTAACTAAGAAAAATCCAAGAAACGCTGAGGTGGGTGCCGGAACCCATTTTGGACCGCCACCATAGTTCCGGGCCAGCACTGGTGAGCCTATCGAAAAGGTTCTGTCCTTGGCTCGCAGATTCCGTCGCTGTACCTGATTCCTTTGCTGTCGTAAGACAGTTTCTTTGAGTGTTGCTGGTTTAAGCAGCTCAAAGCTTGTCCTAAGCTCTCTATTTTGCAACAAAGACGCTGGTGACACTTTGGTAGTTGCGTGCGGAGTACTGCGGTAGCACAGCAAGAAGCTATGCAGGCGTTGATGAAATGTTCCCCACCCGAGTGAAGCTTTCAACGCATGTTTCATGGTTTGGACAAACCTCTCTGCTAACCCATTTGTTGCAGGATGGTAAGGTGATGACGTGATATGCTGCACCCCGTTTGCTTGTAGAAATGTAGCCATCTCGTGAGATGTAAATTGGGGCCCATTATCTGAGACAAGCTGCACTGAAGGTTCAAATCTACTGAAAATTTCTCCCAGTTTCTCAATTGTCTTTTGAGCTGAGGTAGATTTCATGATAGCCACTTCAGGCCACTTACTGTGTGCATCCACGACAACCAGCAGCATTTTGTCCTCGACTGGGCCTGCAAAATCGACATGAATGCGATGCCATGGTTTCTCTGGATATTCCCATGGGTGCAGCGGAGCCAGTTGGGGTACATTTCGTATGCGCTGGCATGACGTACATGTTCTTGCCTTTTCCTCAATTTGGCCGTCCACTCCTGGCCACCAGAAGTAACTCCTGGCAATTTCTTTCATTCGGACCATTCCACAGTGTCCCACATGCAGCTGCTTTAGCACTTGCTTGCGCAGAGCCGGGGGAATGATCACTCTCCTTCCCCACAGCAAGCAGCCTGACTGCACTGAAAGTTCATGACGTCGAGAGATATATGGTTTTAACTCCAGGTCATCGCTCTCTCCTTTTCCTGTCATGACGATATCCATGACCTTGGACAGGACAGGGTCATTGCGTGTGCTCTTTCGTACTTGCACAGCTGTTACTGGGGCCCTTTCCACCTGGCTGAAGTAGAAAATTTCTGCAACTTGTGCCTCCTTTATTCTGTCAGCGAGAGGCAATCTAGACAGACCGTCCGCATTTCCATGCAATTCCGCCTTCCGATATTTGATGTCATAGGTGTGAGCGGATAACAACAAAGCCCATCTTTGCATCCTACTAGCAGCAAGAAACGGAATGCCATGGTGTGGGCCAAAAATTGTAGTGAGTGGGCGATGATCGGTCAGCAACGTGAACTTCCTTCCAAAAATGTACTGGTAAAACTTGCGAACTCCAAACACAATGCTCAACGCTTCTCGCTCGATCTGAGCATAGTTCGCTTCTGCTTTACTCAGACTCCTGGAAGCAAATGCGATCGGCCTCTCTTGACCATTTGGCATGATGTGGGACAAGGCAGCTCCCACACCATATGGAGAAGCGTCGCAGGCCAGTTGGATGGGAAGAGCAGGGTCAAAATAAGTGAGGGCATTTGACCTTAAAAGTGTCTCCTTTGCTCTTTTGAATGCCTCCTGGCATTCAGAGGTCCACCTCCAATTTTTCTCATGACACAACAACTTGTGCAGAGGTTTCAGCAGCGTAGCGATGTTTGGAATGAAACGCCCATAATAATTTAGTAAACCGAGGAAAGACCTCAGCTAGCCTACATTTTCGGGCACTGGAGCATCCACAATGGCCTTAACCTTGGATGGAGATGTATGCAAACCAGAGGCATCAATGACATGGCCTAAGTACTCAACTGCAAACTGGAAAAATTCACATTTATCCTTGCGCACTCTCAATCCATATTCTTTCAGTCTCTCAAGGGAAGCATCAAGATGTTGTAAGTGCGACTCTTCATCAGTGCCAGTCACTAGAATGTCGTCTAAGTAACACACCACTCCTGGAAGGCCCGACAGAATCTGATCCATCGCTCGCTGAAAAACGGATGGAGCTGAAGTAATTCCAAATGGTAACCGCTTAAACCGAAATAGGCCTTTGTGGGTGTTGATGGTGAGAAGTTCTCTGGACTGTTCCTCAACATGCATCTGCAGGTATGCTTGATTGAGGTCGATTTTACTGAATTTTTGCCCTCCTGTCAGTCCAGCAAAAATATCATTAATGTGAGGCAAGGGGTATTGTTCTGCTGACAACACTGGATTCACAGTGACTTTAAAATCCCCACAGATCCTTATGCCTCCATCTTTTTTTAAAACTGGAACAATGGGTGTTGCCCACTTACTCACACTGACTGGTTCCAGCACCCCCTCCTTCATGAGTTCAGCTAAGCTTGCCTCTACCATGGGTTTTAGCGCATATGGAAGGGGCCGGGCTTTTAAAAATTTTGTCTGGCTTCCCGGCTCTACAGTCAATTTCACCTTGATTTCCTTCATGCTGCCCAACTCCTGCTTGAAAACATCACTGTGTTTTCGGAGAATACCTTCAAGCTCCAGTGTTTTAGGTGTCATCAGATGTATGGCCGGCCAGTCCACCTTGAGTTGCTCCAGCCAAGAACGTCCCATCAACGAGGGGTAACCACCCAAGACCACATACAATGGCAGTTTTTTTGTTTGTCCGTTCAGTTCAACTGTTACCTGAGTGAGTCCTTTCATGGTTACCGCTTCCCCAGTGTACGTCACATCAGGTGGCATGAGTGGCAGGTGGCTCAGTATTTCACTGTATACCGCATCCGACATGAGCGACACAGCAGCACCAGTGTCAATCTCCATTTTCACAGGCTGTCCTTCCAGCAGCGCAGTGACCTTATAAGCCTTGGTTCCACCTGCGACAGTGAGCACATGCAAAGGAAATTCCTCATCAGATGTGTCAGTAACCTCCCTGTTTTCCTGCCCAACTGCAAACACGCGTTGCTTTTGCTTCCTTCTGTATACTGGTTTCTGCTGCGTTTTTTCCTTCTTTTCTGTTTTATTTTTACATGCACGCTCAATGTGTCCTTTTTTCTTGCAGCTGCGGCACTCCACATCTTTAAACCAGCACGAAACGGGTGAGTGTCCCGTCTTACCACAGCGAAAACATGGGCCTTTATATTCAGTTTGTTTTTCGGTCTCCATCTTATACACTTTACTGTTTGAGTTCAGTTGCTGTGCTTCCTTCGCAGCCAATTCCATAGACACACTCAGCTCAATTGCTCTTTGTAGTGTCAGGTTGCTCTCCGTTAACAGTCTTTTTTGTATGCCCTCACAGCGGAGTCCGCAGACTAATCTGTCCCGAAGTGTGTCATTTAGTACTTCACCAAATTCGCAGTGTTCAGCTAATTTTTTTAGCACCGCTACAAACATTGTCACGGTTTCTCCTTCCAGCTGATTACGTCTGTGAAATCGAAATCGCTCTGCAGTTACTAAGGGCTTTGGAGAGAAATGTGCTTTGAGAGTGCCCACTATTTGATCATATGTTTTCTCTCCCGGTTTTTCTGGCTGCAGGAGGTTACGCAGTAGTGCATATGTCTTTGGACCCATCACACTTAAAAAAGTGGGTACAGCTTTCTCTTCAGTAATAGCATTAGCTGCTACAAATAACTCAAATCTTTCTGTGTAAGAGCTCCACTGCTCACTACTCTCATCAAAGGGACCAATGTTGACAAAAACTGCTGCCATTTTGTACCGTTCTCTGTCGTTTCAATCAATTCAGTCACTTATCTGAATCGTTGTCTTTCTTCCCCCTCTTGAGTCACAACGTGGATTAGCCGCAGGCTCGTATTATTTCTCATTTCCAGCGATCTCGCCGTCAAGCCGCTTCATTTCCGCATTTACATCACACATGCGGATTAACAAGATCCTTGTCGCCAATTTATTGTGTCTTAAAGAGTATACGGTGTATGCAGGCAAATATGACACACACACAAACTTAGCGGGATTGCTCTGTTTACTTTCTCAGACATCACTTCCATAACACCGGAACATCCGGAAGCATAGTACCAAGTGCATCATGGGAAATGTAGTCACATAAAGCATTAACACAATATACAACAGACACATCTGTGCAATCGTATCAGTTTGAACTGGAGTCGGACCCGGAACAAGATGACAGCCCCGAAGAAGTTCGACAATTAAGGCTCGAACAGGACGTTTCTGAATGGTTGGTTAACAATGTCACTTTGATCTATCTTTGTATGTACTGGCAGGGTAACGTTAGAGTAACTTAGTGAGATTTACGAACGCTATGTGCTTACTGATGTATACGTACTCAGTTTGTAATAACACAATAACCATAACGCGTTGGTCATTATAAACGTGGGATTATGATTATATTGAGAACGTCGTACATAGAAAACATGCCGACGCCGTAATGTACCCTGAGTGTTAGTCTCGCGTAGCCAGACCTTCAGACTGACGGCTGAAGGTCTGGAACTCATAGCAGCTTTCTTTGGCCAAGGCCCGCCCATAAGGCCGTTTGACCGACATGTCAAACAACCAATTACAGTTCGTTTCGTTCAGCGTCACGTGGAAATGTCCCCACAACAACAGACCGGCGTGCAACAAGTCAGTCAGCATAGAAAATCAAAGGAGGAGAAGAAAACCGAACACAATACTGAATCGGCCAGCTGCGATGTCAGCGTCTGTTGTTTCATGTTTGCCCGCAAACGCGGCTGATATCCCCTTCACAGTTAGGTACTTCACTTGATCTTCCATAATAGATCATAGCTGTCAACATTGAACATTGAATATAAGGGAGATTTCCCGGAATCCATCCCCAAAATAAGGGAATTTTTTTACACGATTCTTACCCACCACAAACTTTAAAAATAAAGCACTAATCATTAAAAGTCTAAAGAGTTTATAACTACAAATGAGTGAGAGAGAAAGAGACAGTGTGTGTGTGTATTAGAGAAAGTGTGTCATTTTTTAAACATTTTTTATCAGAGAATGTTTAAATACTAATATCAGCTTACGAGGGAAACAGTACGTGGTGCTTCGGGGGCTGCTGGAGATGATTAGGGAGAGGTCTGTGCTCCTTTACCGATCAAAGCGCGCGCTGACACGGAGTATAATTGTTTATACTTGACGCGTCCGCACGAGCGCGGCAAAGCGCGTTGGGTGCGCAAGACCGGTGTTCTGACGATTTGTGCTGCCTTGTCGAAAAATGCTACCGTAGTGCGAATCGATCACAGAATGTCGATTAATATTATGTGAAATACAATTATAATACAATTCTAAGTTATGAGTAGCTACTGTATACTGTAGACTGTTTCTATTTTTTAAACGGTGTGAAAAGTAAAAATTATCATCAAATATTGACTTGTCAAAGCACACCTTTCCTTAGTAACTGAAACTTTCAATTCTTCTTCTTCAGCTGGCTGACCGTACAAATATTCATATGGTAGTTATCATTTTTTAAAGGGAAATTACTTTATAACACATGAAAATGTACCTTTTGTTAAAAAAAACTGAGTCTGCACATGCGCATAACCAGTAAGTAGCAAATCTCGATGGGTAGCATGAATCGTCAGAACACCGGCAAGACCCCATTTCGCTTGGCTGTGTGCACAGCTTTTTTTGTAACAGCGCGCGCGGCGCCGCATCCGAGGATGAACGACTTCAAGCCGAATCTGCCCGAGCATGTACGTCTCACACAATCAGAGCGTAAAAATACGGGATATTTTACGGGAAAATAATAAAACGGGAAGACAGCGGGAAAAGAGCTAAAATACGTGAGAAACCCGGAAAAAACGGGAGGGTTGACAGCTATGTAATAGATAGGAGGGGACACACAACTAAGTTGGATCTGCTGGGAATCCTTATAAATGCTGACAAAGGGTCGGCCAGGCTTGGAAAATAATACTCTTCCCAAATCCCGTCGGCAAACAGGCTAAAATATCTCTTTTTGTCTCCACTAAGTGCTTCAAACAAAACTCCTGGACATCTCTTAAAGAGTCTACGCCGTGAACCTCGCATACTTTTGAGAATCCTACGTTTAGCTGATCTTGATAAATGCTCATTGTCACTCATGTAAACACAACAGTTTTTCTTCCGCAATCACATGTCTGCGCTTTGTTTCCCGGCAGACCGAAAATAAACGCGACACTCGCACCCCCCGGAAATCCGATAAAATTCAACCAATCAGATGACGACTTCGACATTCCTGAAGTGTTTCCAGTTAAGTGTACCATATGCATCAGACGTTTAGCCAACGTTCCGTGGGCGTGACGTCTGAGGCTGAGACTACCTGAGTGTAAACCTTAGCCGCATTCATCGTGAAGCGTGCAAGCGATTTGCAAAGATTAATATAAGGGTTAATAAAACTTTACACTCACTTCTTCTAGAGGTGCAGCAGGAACACGAATAGTTGGTACTGATTATTTTTTCAGGAGCAGCTTCTTAGCAAAACCAGCTTTATACTGTTCCTCGTTTATAAAGCAGTCTGGTGAGAAAAGATTCGCGAATCGCGCAAACATGAAAGCATTGATGTTGCTCGTAGGGAACATTCCCTTCGAAAACAAAACTCAGCCACTGTGTCTTCACCAGTTCGGATTTAGGAACATCAAAATGACTTACACCCAAGAACAGAACACCACAATCGCTTAGACGCCATTCTGCTCCAGTGTATCAACAATGGCGGACTATGATGACAGCTCGCTCAGGGCGGGGATGTGTTGAAACGCTGCTGTCAATCAACAATCGTGGGAGGGGCGTCCGACTACTGTGACGTCACACGGTCGAACGGCTCGATTTGAGACTGGGAAAAACATAAGGAGATTAAAACAAAAACACTGGATAGATTTTTATGTAAACCATTTGCCATGTAAACCATTTGCCATTGCCACACAGTCATACCTGACACCCCAGTTCTCCCACTACAATCCTCCCTCTTTTAGTTAGTACTAATGAAAATGTAATTCCTGATATCAGAAATAGACATATTTTATATTAATATCAATAATTCAAATTAAATAGTACAAATTTAATTATTGATATCAAAAATGCATCCTGTGAATTAATAAAAGCTAAAATGGCTTGCCATTGCATCTCACTGTGTTTTAAATGATAAAAGCAATAATTGATACTTGATGGTTATTATTTACTGAGGGATGTGCATCCATATTGACCAGTATGTCCAGCCAATCAACATTTTAAATGCAATATAGTCATTGTCAATAGATTGCTTTCCATCTTGCTTTATTGCAGAGTTGTAACTAAACTGACTAGGAGACTAGATAATCATTGTCTTGTTTTAAAAGTATGAGCGCCTAATGAGGAGTGCCACAATGCCCATATTGTACTGGTAACTGGTCCCCATAGATGTTTTGCTGAAAAGTGCACTTTTCATTTCGTGCACGCGCATATGAACTCATGTTAACGCGCGACGCGGTTATCTTTTCCGAGCGGCAGTTTATAAACAAACACCGTTGCCCTTTTATCAAACCTAATCTAATGAAAGTGCGTATCTATACCACAAATTTAATTTCTTGAGCTATTTACACGCCAAAAATGTTTTT